TATCCTCCAATCTGATGTCAGCAAAAATAGTATTCTGCAACTATAATAAAAATTATGACGTGCTAAACCAAGGCTAGTTTAAAAAGTGATTCATTGTGGATAAGCTAACGGGAATGTCACAGTAAGAATATCTATTTGGATATAGGTATTTTGCTTCTTGCGCTATACAAATGTTTCCATATTGAACCCAAATAGCTACAGCTTCAGGCTGAACAGTCAAATAAGATGTATTAAAATTAGTAATTAGGAAAATCATTGATAAAGTTAACAATACAGTGCAATTAAGAGATTAACTTTTCAGAACCAATATCATAATGGACCTCCTTTTACAATTTCAACTGAAAGTAATTACAATTAACCCACAAGAAAAATATATTTTATGTCCCTTCACTTGCATTGTTGAATTGCGTCAGTTCATTGAACCAGATTAACTTGATGTTATTTAAATGTCATTTCAACTTATGCCACATGATATACTAGATGCAATTTTTCCTGTCTTCAAATTTGTGCAGTTTGTTAGAAAGAAAATGGTTAAAGCAACAAAAAAAATGAATCATTGTCCCCCGGAATTGGCCTTAATACAGTTACATACATAATCAATGCAGTAAAATCATCAGGCATTCGAGACTTATGTCATCTTCAGTAGAAATTCACAGGGCAGAAAAATCATACATTTCCAGTTATTTTTCGCTTGTAAAATCTTCACAAAACAACAGTTGAGGAGATATATCAATAAAAAGGTGTTAATGGTAAATGCATTTAGCAGAAAATAAATCAAAGGCATGAGAGAAAACCCATACGAATAAGGCATTGCTGAGGGATGGGGGTAATATAAGGTGTAATCAAAATGGAGGATATCGAGTTCAAAACTTCAGACCATGACAACGTTCAGTCTTTCACAATATAAGGTGCCTGTCCTGAAAATGAGTGCTATCCCTTCAACCTGCTTTGGATTTTGCTGGAACACTGCAGCAGGTCTTTGACATAAAATTTTGCAATGACTGGAAGTTAGGGGTCATTCTTATTAAAGCATTCTACAAAGGGGTAACCCAGTCTGCATTCTGGGGTCACGTCAAAGTGGAGAAAACTGCATTGTAAGCAGCAAATAAAATGGATTAGATTGAACAAAGTCCACAAAAATCACTGCATTTGGGGCCTTGGACAGTGACAAGGGAGGAGCTGAATGTGCAAGTATTACACCTCTGCGATTGCATGGGAAGGTGTGGGGGGTAGGGAGCGGAGATGTTTGGAGTAATGGATGAGTGGACCCGGGTGTAATGGAGGTAACAGTCCCTGCAGAACAGAGACAAAGGAGGAAAGGAGAACATGTATTTGGCTGTCCCATCCTGCAGGAAATGCTGGAAATGGTGGAGGATGATCTTTTGAATGCAGCAGTTGCTGGGGTGGAATGTGAGGATAAGAAGAACCCTGATTTGGGAGAGAGAAAAAAAGGAATACAGAAGAGCAGGAAAATGGTTGGACACGGCTGAGGACCCTAGCAAAACTAGATCATAGTTCATTGAATCCCTACAGTATGGAAACAGGCTCTTCGGCCCATCAAGTCCACACTGACCCTCAGAGCATCCCACCCAGACCCATCCCTTATAACCCACCTAATCTACACATCCCTGAACATTACGAGCAATTTAGCATGGCCAATCCACCTAGCCTGCACATCTGTGGACTGCAGGAGGAAACCCACGCAGACATGGGGAGAATGTGCAAACTCCACACAGACAGTCGCCCAAGGGTAGAATCGAACCCGGGTCCCTGGTGCTGTGAGGCAGCATTGCTAACCACTGAGCCACCGTGCTGCCTCTAGTGGGAGATCTTCTACCGTCTTTGAATCTCATTATCTCTGACAATTATTTTTGGTTCCCTGTGAAATTAAAATCTAGCAAACAGCAATAATTTGAGGAAAAGAAGAAAACATACATATTACACACTGGTACGGAATCACCTAACATCAAACAAAGAATAAAATCTGAAAGATTTCCAAGGTATTCTCACTAAAACTCAATAAAATAAATTTAATAAAAACCAAAAGAACTGTGGATGCTGTAAATGAGGAACAAAAACAGAAGTTGCTGGAAAGGTTCAGCAGGTCCGGCAGTATCTGTGAAGAAAAAATCAAGAGTTAACGTTTCGGGTCTGGTGACCCTTGCTCAGTTCTGAAATGTCAAAATAATTTTGACCAAGAGATTCGGAGTTTAAAGTATTTTTAGAAACACTGGCATTTCAGAAAAAGTCAGAGTTAACGTTTCAGAACTGAAGGAGGGTAACCGGACCCTAAACATTAACTGACTTTTTTAAATATAAAATTTAATATTGCAATTTACGGTAATTAAGTCAAAATAGTTAAATTCTGCAAATAATACTTATCTAGTCCACAGGAATGAAATGCCAGTGTTTCTGAAAATATTTTAGACTTCCAATCTCTTGTCAAAATAATTTTAAATTTTGCTCCAAGGCACGTATTCATCAGTTTCATTTTATCTACAATTTCATCAATGCAGCATTAACTAATTTTGATATAAATTTATTTCAATATTTAACATAACAATGGAAAATATTGTTCCCTAATATCAACCACAGCTTTTCAAACTGCCTATGTCCTCCAGTTCTGTAAATTGACAGTCTACCAAGAAATGCAGGGTTCTCTCTACTTTTTACTGCACATTGAAGACCATGACCATCATTGCCCGCTTTCGTTTTCAAATAAGGTATGTAAAATTCTTTCAGCATTCCTTTTTAACTTCAAGAATAAAAATCTTGAATATCCTAAAAACTCTGTCAAATACAGTGATGTACTTTTGAAGACAAAACAGTAAAGGCTGCACATACTATTCTAAAAGCAGCTTTGCATTTAGAGATAGGACCTCTGGCTTATGTGTTGGCATTAAATTTGGCTGAAAGATTTTGTGATGTATAAAATGTTGCCAAGACAGTGAGAAAATGGACAGCAGATCTCATGAAATGGAGTCCTTCATTATTTACATACTCCATGGCATTCTTACTGAAACTGTCCCCCTTTATTCAAGAGTATGGCAAGTAGCAGCCTCTCATCTGACCATGGCTGCAGCTTTTCAAACTCCCAGTCTGTTAGTATTAGTGACGAAACACACCGCTACGTGGACTCATCTCAGTTGCTCAAAACAGAACTTCGGTTCAAATGGAAATGAATAATTATTCAGAAAAGTTAACTCCTGATAGGTGCATGAGAATTAACCACTTGCCTTTGAATATGTTTGGATGAGACTGAAGATCACTTTTAGAAGAGTTAACATCTTGCATGCCCTCAAATATATAAAATTGCATTTTAATTCAGGTGAAAATAGAAACTGTCTTCTACTGGTGAAAACTGCTAGTCAGAAGTGATTCCCTTTAAAAAACATATATTTTCCATCTATTCCAAGTTGGAGACTTATGAAATTTTGAAAAGTTGCTGATGACTACATTAACATCAGTATAATTACATAATATTGCCAGCTTTGTGGCATACTATAGAAATAGCGAGATAATATACTAAAATAATGCAGAAAATAAAAAGGAATCACTAACTGCCCTGAAAACAACTCTGAAAATTGTTCAATATAGTGGAATATCAATTATCTGCACTTGCATTATCCACAAAGTTTTTATGGAATTTAGGATTTAATTTTCCACAGATCAATGAAGACACAAACAAGTGGTTTAAGCAGGGATTTTTTTTTTTTTTTTTAAATTCAGAAAGACCAAGATTTTGCAATTTTTCTGGCTCAAAGTTGGGATGGGATCTTTAAGAGCAAAACACTCCCTGCCTCCAGCTGCAAAGAAGCCTGCCAGATAAAGCGCTAACTAGTCATTAAATGGTGATCCACTGGACTTTTCAGCTAATCAAGTCCCAGGACAGTTATGTTGTGCCCAATCTGAAGCTATTGGCCACCTGAGTGCCGGTAACCACTGCGAGTGGCAGAGTAGTAGCGAACCCATGGAAGTCCCAGACTCTGGCTATACAGAAGTGCAGAAGACTGGGACAAGCATCAAGGTAAATGTTCTGCGTGCAGAGTTAGGGGGGTGCCAAGAGAAAAATCAAACAGTGGGTAAGGAGGGCCAATGGCCAGAGCATGGGGGTGAATTTTAGTGGCCACCTGCTGATCCTATCCATGCCTCGGAATACCCCCAAAATTGGGACATTTCAAGGTATGCCCTCCTCCTCCTCCTCGTGCCCACCCCTCCCTCCCCCTGCACTCCCCAACCTGCTGCCATTGCCACCATCCCCACCCCACCACAAAGCCCAGCAGACTGGTCAGCTCACTTCTCCAGTTGGAAAAGCTGACATTTTTCTCATCTGCCGGGAACAAAATTAATCAGCCCAGTGACATACTGAAGATTCTTAAGGGTATATCAATTGACGGCTTAATCGTATTAATTAATGGCAGGTCAGGAAGGCCCCCAGAACTTATGTCCTAAGGTGATGGTTATCCCCCTGATTATTTGTTCTTCAGATATAATCAGGTAGATTGGCAGCAGGGAATCTCCAGTCCTTTCCTGTCACCTTTTTCCATCACTTCTAGGGAGGGGAAATCCCATCCTGTTATAAATTGCTAGTGTTTATTTTAGTAGAGTTTGCTAAGCAGGATTTCCAGAATGCAGCTTCACAACTAAAGACCAATGATAATCAAGACCAATATGCTCACTTCAAAATTTAAAAAAAAACTGTCTTATAGAATGCAAGTTGCCACTATCACAGTGCAAAAAACAGTATGAAGGTGTACACAGTCATTATTAAATTTTACTGGCCAACCAGTTACATTTTAAATACAGAGCAGCAACGTAAACGTTCTGTAGTGTGGATGAATGCTGTTCTTAGGACAAAGTGATTTAAGTTTCATTATATATTTACCAGGAGTCAGCATAATTCAATGTAAATTGAAGTCCACAACGTGAAGTGGAAAGGAAGTCAAAAAAAAAAATCAGTGATTGCATGAAAGAAACAGATCAGTATAAATATGACCAACCTGCTCTGGGGTAGCCATAAAGTTGATAGCTGTATAATGGCGGTCATCATCCTGGGTGAGGCTGAAGGTAAACTGATAATCAATCAAAAGACTGTCTGTGGACAAGATTCAAAAGTATATCATAAAGTTAAATTCCTGGAAAGAGTAAGAGTAATTTCTGCTTCATGCACAGTCTGCAGAACATTAAATATTTTCTCTTCATTTACAGAAAAGTGCCAGCAGCTCTGTTTGCACATGGCATTCCAAAGTACAATAACCGAATCAAAACAGGACAAGAATAATATTTATGTCGCACGTAGGGGACACTTTTAGCTTCCACATTCTTCATTCACTCATTGAATTTCCAAGCAAACAACACATCTTAATATAATAGTTCACATACTACTCAATTCTGGTTTTAATACGAACTGCCATCAACTTATTGATGATATGACAACCAGATCATTTGCCATAAACACGGCTATAGTACTTAGCCAAGGTAAACACAAAACTAAATGGTTGAAGACCCACCTTGTCAACTGGTTAACTTCCATATTTCCATGTAAATACAAACAGAAACAGTGTGGTGAACACATATTCTAAGCATGGAAATCCATTGTCCCTGTTCACTACCTGCTGACTCATTTCATTCACTGGTTGATTTTATTGAGATGCCTGGATAGAGTGGACATGGAGAAGATGTTTCCACTGGTTGGAAAGACTAGGGCCCAAGGGCTCAGCCTCAGAATGAAGGGTCAGCCCTTTAGCACAGAGATGGGAAGAATTTCTTCAGCCAATTAACGGTGATATCTGTGGAATTCATCGCAACAGAAGGCTGTGGAGGACACATCATCTTGAGTATTTAAGATAGAGACAGAGATGTATGGGTTCTTGATTAATAAGGGGATCAAGAATTAAGGTGAGAAGGCAGGAGAATGGTGTTGAGAAACATATCAGCCATGATCGAGTGGCGGGGAAGACTCAATGGCTTGAATGGCCTAATTCTGCTCCTTCACCTGACAGTTTTATAATTCATAAATGAAGGCTTTAATGTTTAACTGAGTGTTACATACACAACAGTAGGTTAATACATTTTCTCTGGGCAGTGGAATGTATTCAAGATCCAACTGGTTAAAAACAAAAGCAAAATACTGCAGATGCTCAAATTCTGAAAAACTGCTTATCTGGTCATAAATGCTGCTTGACCGGTTGAGTATTTCAGGTTGTCTGCGTTTTTTCTAAAGATAATTATGTTTTTTATTCACTGTATATTCATCAACTCTCTTGTTGAGCAGCTTGGGCCTATATTGAATGGAGTATCAAAGAATGAAAGGTGATCTGACTGAAATGTACAAGATTCTGAGGGGGCTTAATGGCTTAGCTGCTGAGAAAATGCTTTCCATTGTGGGGAAACTAAAACTAGCAAACAATTTAACATAAGGCATGCACCATTTAAGGTTGAAATTATGGGAATTCTTTCTCCGAGTTACAAAGATTTTGGATCAACAATCGAGTTGAGAGTTACGGGGAGCAGGCAGGAAATTGGAATTAAGACCATAGTCAGATCAACTATAATAAAAACTGAAAGAACTGCGGACGCTGTAAATCAGGAACAAAAACAAAGTTGCTGGAAAAGCTCAGCCGGTCTGACAGCATCTGTGAAGGAAAAAACAGAGTTAACGTTTCGGGTCTAGTGACCCTCAGAACGGAGGAAAGGTCACCAGACCCGAAACGTTAACTCTGTTTTTTTCCTTCACAGATGCTGTCAGACCTGCTGAGCTTTTCCAACAACTTTGTTTTTGTGTCAGATCAGCCTATGACTGGTGAAGCAGGCTTAAGAGATAAATAGCATATTCCTGTTCCTACTTCTGTTCCTAATGCAACCTATTTTTAATAATTTTAATTTGATAAATATATGGTGAATAAAAAACATATATAGATAATACATAGACAGATATGCGCGCACGTACGCACACACACGCAAAGAGGAATTAAACTTTTAAGATTTATTTTGCTTTCAAAAAGAAATGATATTTATTTCAAAGCAAAGAATAACAATTTAAACATACAGATTAAGCACAAATATTCAAGACATCTTTGGTTTGTCAAATTAATTTGTCTGCAATGATTTCCAATGTTAAAGCATATGCTAACGAATCCATATTGATCCCAAGATCCAATGAATGTTGTGACATTTGGAGAATAAATTACTTCGTTTCATATTTGTGGTTTGAAGTAACTTCTACTAACATTATTCCAAAATGAACAACTAATAAAAATATTAGGCAACCATATTGACAGGTGCTGCAACTTTTAAACATCAAACTGTTTTCTTTTACTGGTAATGCCTACAGCATCAAGTAATTTAATGCAACTCAATTCAATATAAAAAAAATCCTGTCTCTCTATCTACCTTCCCTAGCTCATATCTCAATTGGTTTGATGATGTTGATGGTCAATTGCCGGCAAGAGTATGGTAATGAGTCATTGTAAAACTATACATCTTCCATCTCATGAGACACCATAGAGGAGATCACAGAGATGCCACATTCCAACACCATCCCATTTTACACAGGCAGTTTCAAGTGTTACCAGCTGATACAGCAAGATGAAAGGAAAACAAGACAGAAGTATACTAAATGAATAAAAAGTATTGACAAAAATTTTTCATTTGAAACAAAGGTTTCAATTTTTAATTATTATGCAGTCCATTAATTCTTTAATGAATCAAAATACTATTCTGAAAATGACTGTCTTATGACTAGCTGATTATATTATCCATGCTGACATATTAAAGCATATTAAGTTGCAATGCCAATCTCAGTTGAAATGTTGGTACATATTATAACTCACTTTTCGGATGCACCATTGAAATCATGATTAGCCCTTCAGCTTTGTTAAAATATCATCTCAATAAGATTTGATTCTTATGGACTATAAACCATTTTTGTTTTTTGTTAAACTTTATACCAAAAAAACACAAAACACATTAAAAGGATGAATCAAGTCTAACCAAACAAACTCGGGAGTTAGCTAACTAATGTAAAATAAAATTAGATATAAATATTAATAGTGAAAAATACAACATCTGTGTAACATAAGTGACCATAAACAAATTTTCTAGTAACGGTACAGATGTAATATACTGACATAAACAGGGCAATTTTAAAAGTGCCTCCTTTTCAAATTTTTTTTAATAAAGTAATTTCCAGGCAAAAGTAAAGTGGAAAAGGGATAAGTCTTTCAAAGCCAAAGCTTATCTTGTCCTCACAACCTCAGCACACACAACCAGAGTGACGGAACTGACAAGACAGAAACAAGAATCCTGGCCCACTCTCCCCTCCTTATCTGCGGATTGCATAATCGCAATATTTGCTCCACACCAAACTAAAACTAGCTTTAGCAGCAAAAAAAAAATCAAATGTTCGGTGTTGCTGGTTCCATTAAGCCAATGAGGAAGAACAGCAAGCAGTGACTCATGAGGTGCCGGAAGGTTCAGACCCCAGCTATTCACAATATATAATTATGGACCACACTAAACCCCCTTCAAATATATCAAGGAGATAGCTTAAACCATAACCTTTTCTTATTTAAAGGCAAGCATAAGGTGCTGTGTTCCAGATGTAATGCGATTGGTCACACTACTCAGCATTAAGCAAAACACACTTTACTCTTACCCTATACAGTTAAAATATAAGCAAAAGAAAGAAGAATTGGTATAAATTTAACTCTATTGGAAAACCTAATAGAATATTAGATTATCTAACTACATAAACAGCAACTGTTCCAATACAGTAACATCCCATAAACACCCTTGGCAAAGGCAAAGTCAGTAAAACAGATTGTCTCACATGCAATGTTTCTCCAATCCAGGAGGGAAGAACACCAAGGGAAAATTCTGGCAGAAAGACAGATAACACAAGCTTTTTTCCTTTCTGTAGCTGGGTGTGGGGGCGGTGGGGATGTATGGCAGTTTCAAACCCCGAACAACTACTGAAAGCTAAACTAAAACCCTGGTTCTGAGAGAGCCTGACCCCAACCATTCATGCTGCTTCTGTTGTTTCAACTTAAAAAAAAACAAGGCCTCAAGTTGTTTATTCGCTTGAAACAGACTGCTCAGTGCCTCTGTCTCAACCCACTCTTCATTAAAAAAACAAAGTACATCTCTTAAAACCATTGCATCATCACAACATGTTAATGATTTAGATGAGGGAACTATATATAATATCTCAAAATTTGAAGTTGACACAAAGCTGGGTAGAAGGGTGAGCTGTGAGGAGGACACATAGGTATTGCAGTATGATTTGCACAGACTGAGTACATGGGCAAATGCATGGCAGATGCAGTATAATGTGGATAAACGTACGATCAACCACTTTGACTGCAAAAATAAAAAGTTAGATTATTATCTGAATGGCTGTAAATTGAGAGAGGGGAATGTTCAACAAGACCTGGGTGTCTTCATACACCAGTCACTGAAAGTAAGTATGCAGGTGCAGTGGGCAGAAAAGAAGGCAAACCGTATGTTAGACCGTATGTGTGAGGATTTGAGTGCAGGAACATGGATGTCTTGCTACAATTCTACAGGGTATTTGTGAGGCCGCACCTGGAATATTGTGTGCAGTTTTAGTCTCTTTATCTAAGGAAAGAAGTTTTTGCTGTACAGGGAGTGCAGCTAAGGTTTACCAAATTGATTCATAGAATGGCAGGACTGACGTATGAGAAGAGACTGAATCAGTTAGGATCGTATTCACCGAGTGTAGAGGAATCAGATGCGATTTCATAGAAACCTATAAAATTCTATCAGGACTAAACAGGCTAGATACAGGAAGGCTGCTTCTGCTGGTGGGGAAGTCTAAAACCAGGGGTTATAGATTAAGAATAAGGGACAAAGCTTTTAGGACTCAGATGAGAAATTTCTTCACCCAGAGAGTGGTAAGCCTATGGAATTCACTAAAACAGAAAGTGGTTGAAGGCAAAACATTATGCATTTTCAAGGAGGTAGATATTGCTCCTGTGGCTAAAGGGATGAAGGGATGAAGGGATATGAGGGGAGTGGGATTAGGTTATTGAGTTCAATGATCATCCATGATTACATTGAGTGGTGGAGCAGGCT